AGGTTGAGACCGCCCGATGCATTTAGGCATCCAAATCTTACGTCTCCTTGAACTTGAATGCTGAGCTTATCTTGATTCTGGGAAGGGCCTCCGCTTGGGTCAGTCAAGCAGTCACTTCGCAGGCAGCCCGTGCCTGTGGAGGTGGCGGTAACTAGTTGTAGCTACGTGTACAGTGTAGCTTTGCGCCAAAGACCTTTTGAGGCAGAGCGCTGAAACTGACAAACGTCTGAAGCTGTAGGAGTCTGTGGAGCGTGTAAACTTTGTGTTTCGTCTTACGGAAAGGCAGCAACAAACTTTGTGTAAAGAGCTTCTCGAAGTAGCACGCTCTTTAGGCGGGGTGCTAAAGTTTGTACCCACACGTGTACCACATTTGTATGCTGCCGTACTGAACTAATTTGCATGCTGTATGTTTTGTTTTGCTCCACTGTATTTTAGAGCCCAATACTGACTGAGTGACTCCGCAGGCGTGTGAACCACAGGAAAAGTTTAGCAAAGTGGCATCCTTCTTTTAACAATGCATCTTGTACAAATGAAACTCTGCGATGTTGTTGAACCGAACAAAGAGCAAGCGCCCTGGGCCCGAGCCCAGGGCAAGGCACTGCGATGCCCCAATCACGAGAAAAGAATGAGCCGCTAGTGTGAGCCGAATTTTTATTAGTTGTGAAGTATATTTTCGGATGAAGAGTGACATATCCCGAATTTTTATATGTATATTCTCTTGTATATATGGAATATGGAACGCCCGGTTGACACATAAGGGAAAATAAAAATACGTTGACTGCGAAGTGCGCAGTCTCGCGCCGGGTCGGCCGCATTGCAAGACCTGCTGGAGCAGCAAGTCTTTCGACGCTGAGTGAAAAAGTCCGCGAGCTTTTGTGAGAGAATCCTAGTAGGCAACTGTTCCTAGTCACAGTCTCGGCAGCGCCTCTCTCGCTCTTTGTTTCACTTGCCTGTCAGGACCATGGCGAACCTCGTCGACAGTGTCGCCGAATTTACGAGCAGAGCTCAACAGCTTTTGGGAGACGCCGAGTCGGCAAAGCTCCTGGCGGCAGACATCCGCACTTTCGGCACGCTCGCGTACAGCGTTGCCGATCAGCCGGATCGCATCAGCGATGCGAGATTTGATGAACTCCTGAAGAAGGTGTTCACGGCGGCAGAGCCGACCCTTGGCACCAAAGCCGCAGTGCGGCGCTTGGCCTTCGAAAGCCTCACCTTCAGTATCCAGGATCTGAAGCTGAGGATGGAGGGAGACAGCGTCAGCTTTTGCGCCGAACGGCCGCTGGCCGACGGCGGCTGTTCGGCGGGGCGGGGGGGCTCTGCCTCCCCTAGTCAGGCGGTCCCCGCCTCCTTCGGGCAGTCCGCGGCTCCGTGCTCGGAGCTGCCGCAGCTCATGCACTGGTGCAGGCCCCGATCGCACTGCTTCGGGGATCCGGAGGTCTCCAGGTCGCACCCGCACTGCAGGTTGAAACCGTAGCAAAGGCGCTTGCCGGACTTGGAAACGCTGTTCAAGTGTCGCAGCTCCTTGGGCATACTGGGAGGCCTGGAGCGGTCTGCGCTCTCGTGCCTCTTGCCCTTGCCTTTGCCGCGGCCCTTTCCTTTGCCTTTCTTGCCCTTGCCGGTCGCGCTGCGACTGCGGTCCTCCTCGGCACGTCCTGTGCTGCGGCCTTTTCCTTTGCGGCTCCTGTCCGCCACTGGGGATGGAAGAAGGTGCATCGTGATGATAGGATCGGACCAGAGGCGCTCAACTAAGGCGTCCAGTGGCCTCTTACCATCCTTGTCTGGCTTGCAGCCCTTACGGCACTCGCGCGCAAGCAGCGTCCACAGCTCTTTATCGGCACGTACTACGTGCCAACTGCTGCCGCGTTCCATCCCCGGCGGCGCTGGCCGGTTCAGGACGGAGAAAAATTGTCTCACGAGTCTCTCGTGAATCGTAAAATCCAGGACGCCGACTCTGTCGAGCGCCAAGCCCCTGCGCGTCAAGGCTTGGGTGAGCTTGAGCTCGTTGCCAATGTCCACGTGGACATTGGGCTCCTTTTTCTTCACAGTAATCTCCCCAGACTCTAGGGAGAGGAAGTCCTTGTCACGCCTCACTGAGGCGATCTCGGCGTCCTGGCTGACGCACTGCGACGGAGGGATGTACCTGACCATGCCGTCCTGCAGCATGAGCGCTGCCTTGTCCACAAGGCTGTTAGCGGGGTCGTAATCGCCTTCGATGACGATACCTCGCAGCCGAGCGACTTGCGCTGCACGTCGCTCTTCGGGCACTACTGCGGCCACAGTGTCCGGCCCTGGTCAGTCTTCGGCCAGAGTCTCCCTCGGCACCCTCTTTTTCCGCTTCGCCCAACGGGCAGCCCACCTCGCATGCACAGTTAGCATCTGCTGCCGAAACGACACCAGAGAAGTTGCAGAGTCCTCTCCTCCTGGCAGAACAGCAGACTACTCCTGCAGATGCAGACTTTGTCAGCAATGCAGCTGCGCCTGCTCAGCGAGTGGGCGCCCGCCCTCCTCTTTTTGTGGAGGTCTTTTGCGGCCTAGGTCGCCTTAGCAAGGCAGCCATCGAGAGAGGTTTCTCGAACATAGCAGTGGACCACAAGTCTAAGGCCAGAGGCCTTAAGGTTCTGCAGCTCGACCTCAGCACGCAACTGGGTCGGAACCTGCTGAAAGCAGTGCTTTCTCATGAAGATCTGAAGTGGGTCTACTGGGCCCCTCCCTGCGGGACCTTCAGCAGAGCTCGAGAGATTCCCAGGCCGGGAGCGCCGGCCCCTCTGCGCAGCGAGTCCCGCCCCGCCGGCCTAAAAGGCCTGCGCGGTACCGACTCAGCCCGCGTTCGCAGCGCGAACAGCCTGGTGTCCTTTATGGCCGCGTGCTGCCGGACCTTGTCTCAGCGAGACATCTGCTGGTCCATTGAAAACCCAGCCAGAAGTCTCCTTTGGCGAATGCCGTGCCTTCGTCAAATCCTGCAATCGGCCCACAGAGTGGAGTTCGACGCCTGCATGTTTGGCAGCACGCGGCGCAAGCGCACTGCGCTTTTGTCAAATTTGAGCTGGTTCTCCGGTCTCAGCCGAGACTGCGACGGAAGCCACAAGCACGCGCCCTGGGGCAGAGCCTCAGTCGACGGCTCCACAGTGTGGTCCACGTCCCTTGAAAGCGCCTACACGACCCAGCTCAGTTCCGCATGGGCGTCACTGGCGGCGGAGCAATGCTCTGCCCAGCTGAGGGCAGCGCCGCTCAGCCGTAAGCGCTTGAAGCGCCTTCGCTTCGAACCAGATTTCAGTGACAAGATCACTCTTGACGGCGCTGCAGCGCAGTGCTTCAAGGGATGGAAAACACCTCAGAAGCTCCCACAGTCGTGGTCTTGCTTCCCGAAGGGTTCGAGGCTGATCCAGTGGATCGAGTCGTCGCAGAAGGCGGTGATTTCCATCCCACTGCAACCTCTTCATTGGGGGCGCAGGGCACACCTTATTGATCACCCCGCGAGGGACATCGAGGCAGTGCCTCTCCCCCTGAAACGAGCCATTTCGGCTGAGGTCCATCAGGACGCTGTCTTCTTGGCCAAACGCCGAACAGCGGCTTCCATGCACGTTGCAAAGACCTGCACAGAGTGCAAGGCTTTAGAAGAAGCGGCTCGAGCTGGCAACGACCCTCAAGTCAATAATGTGACTTTGCCCAAGCAAACAGTTGCCTTGGGAAAGCTTCTCGAGGAGATTAGCTTCCCCGACACTGCCGTGTCCCGTCAGGTACGGGAAGGTTTCCCGCTCTTGGGCTGGATCCAGCCCAGCGGGCTGTGGCCAGTTCAAATTTTGCCTCCATGCCTGGACGCAACCTCCATTTTGCAGAACTCACACAGCATAGGCATGAAGGGCGTGCGCAGCGCGCTGCGCCCCTCCGAGGATGGGGTCTCCGATAAAGTCTGGGAGAGCACCCTGGACGAGAGCAAGCAGGGCTGGCTTTCTCTAGAAGACTTTTCACCGTCCAGCCTCCACGAGACGATAGTTTCGTCTCGTTTCGGGGTGGTGCAAAAGGGCAAAGTTCGCCCTATTGACAATTTCAAGAGCAGCTTCGTAAACAGCTGCTGTGGCACGACTGAGAAGGTCCAGGTCGACAGCATCGACGAGCTTCTGGCCGTCTGCCTGGAGTGGTTACGCCAGGGTGTGCCTGCAGAGCAGGCGCACCGTATAGTGGGCAGGACGTGGGACCTGAAAAGTGCCTACAAGCAGCTTGCAGTGCACCAGGAAGCGCCCGCCGACTTTATACATGAAGTCGATTGCGGGATAAAGCCGTTGGCCCACATGAGGCCGATTAGCTTTTTGACTTGAAGATCGAAAAGTTTTTTTGATGCATGAAAACCGACCGAAAGTTTTTAAAACATCAAGTTTGGCAATGCGATGTTTTGATCGCATATCGGGTCGATGAAAAAAAGCAAGCCCCCCGGAGCCATATCATGAGCATCGTTACGATTCATCTACGTTTCAATATTTGATGGGTTTGCAGTTTATACGTTTAAGGTTGGATTCCGTATCGAACACACAAAATACATTCAGCAAGCATGCACATGTCGTTGACATATGTAGTATAGGTGTTACACATGGCGTGTATGCATGGTATAAAGCATGTGTATCATCTTGCGTTCGACCGTGCGTGTGTGTAAATGTATATATTTAAGTCGCATGCGCTGTGATCATGATTGCCGGGACCTTGCAAGCGCCGACTGAGTTGCCTCGCCAGCGATCTTGGTAGATCTCATTAAGTGTTTGATTATCGATAAGCGTGTGTCTGTATATATACGGAAACATATATGTGAAAAGATCGGATATATAGGATTCAACTATAATGTTTGCCATGTGCAATATTGTATATATAGAGAAAACTTGAAACTCTGGATCCGCAATCTTAAGAAAATATTCCTGTACTTAAGCCATGGATCCCCCTGCAATCTGCTGCAAGTCGGCAGTCGACGATGTGGCACATGCAGCAACTCAACCGCAAACGATCGGATCTTTTTAGGCCTCTCTCCGCCACTGAAGTCCCATTTGCACAGTATAGCGCAAAAGAACGTTATGCGACATGTTGCGCACCGGAGCTTTGCATGCAAGGGCTTTTATGCGGCGTATCGCGTCTTCCCCTAAATAGTTGCTGAAGTATCTAGGGTTCCTAGGTCTGAAATCTAGGACTGCATGTTCCAATAGGTGGAGTTTAGGGCGAAAGTGGTACCTCGGAAGGCCTCTAGATATCGCACTCGCAGCAAGCTCGTTGAACCCAAACCGCAGCACCAGGTAAGCTTGCTCATACTGGTCGGCCGATGCTTGGTCGAAAAAGCGCCTTGGATGCTCTGTTAAATTCTCGTTTGCAATTGAGATACGTTTACACCCAGTGCTGATCGAGTGCCCATTGTGGATCATCAACATCTCCATGTCCCGAAAAGCTGCGGCCACGTCCCACAAGTGCCTGGGCGCATGCAAGCTCACATCTCGTGCAAGAATACAGGATAACCCAGTTAGCACTTGCATATATGTGTCAGGTTGCTTCAAGGTGGGAGGCAGTGCACTCATAGATTCGCACACCGTGGTCAAGAATGTGGCCGCCCAAAGTAGCATATATCTGCAAGCCGTTGCAGATAAGATCTTTTGAGAAACCTCAACAACTTTGTTGTTGCGCAGAACTGCTGTAGTGAACATACGTCTGCTGGCACGATCACCGACTTGAGAGGCTTCAGACCAGGATCGGTAGTCCTTCCAGATAAGATCCAATCGCTTTTCTCGTGATGAACCTTCCACGATCGTAGCATCATCGGTCACCTCCAGCAACATGCTGGCCAGAAAGTCAACAGCACAGGCCAAATGGACCATATGCATGTAGTCAGGGAGGATCCCTGAGGCATTCGAAGCTGGCACTAGAAATTAACTAAATGATTTCTTCGGACAACATGAAAACACAAATGATGCCAGCTGGGATTCTGCAGGGGCCAAATCCATCAATTCTTGTGAGTGGAGATTCGCCATGCACTTCGACGAAATCCTCGTTGGTCGTGATCAAAGTACTCCGGTGTTGGGCGTGGTGCCCGAAGCAAGAATAGAGCAGCTCCACGTTGTTAGGTTCACCCGGCTTGGCAGCAGCATTGACCCATTGGAGAGCAGAGCAGAGATGACATGTGAGCTTCTTGTTGTAGAAGCCTATGGCTGATCATATCGGAGGTAGAAGTTCGGATACCGACACAGGTTAATTAGCTTGTTGCAGACAAGAAACGATTCAGGCCCAGAGCCAGCTTGTGGTACTCCCAGTCGGCTTGAAACCCATCGAAAATGCACACGTAGGGGCCGCAAATCCGTTGGCCTGCCACTTTCGCCCTTTCGGGCATATATGTCGGCCCGAATTCCTTCCCGAATGCATCGCAGTGAGGGTACACACCCTTGCCTCAAGAATTTACAGGTGAAGAATTCACGACTGCCATCACCTTAGAAGATTCAGCCCAGCGGCTGAGGCAGTTGAAGCTCCACGCCACAACGGTAAGCAGTAGGTCCCGTGCAGGTTGGTTGCAGAAGGTGGCATTCATACATGATAGCCTGGACGTGATGCACCGGGTTTCGGGGTTTAGTTGCGACTCAATCCAAGGTTGTATGATTTGCTCATCGAGATGCAGAAATCGAGTATTCAATGTGGACGACTCAGATTCAGTCTTGGGGACGGTCACGAGTGTCAGAATTTCGAACTTCTGCCGTCCTTAGTACATGTTTGTGCGCTTCAGCAGGACATCGGTTTCATGAGGCGTATGCATGTTTCTGTCGAATTAATTGCTGGCTGAGTAGCGGTAGGCATCGGCACCATCGCCATACAATCGCAGTGGAACCACCAAATCGAGATCACAGCCGGGTTCCTGCGTGCAGACCACAAATAAAGCAATCCTCCGCGCCAAGCACAAGCTTCAGCCCAGGTGCATCCAAAGCCGGGTGCGTCTTCAGAAAATGGCTGGAGCTTGCTGCTGACAGCTCCTGTTCCCAATATGTTCGAAGAGCCTGAGCTGCATTTGCTGTTCAAGCCCCAGGCCACAAAAGCTGTTGGTGCATGTTTCATTCCATCAAGTGGCTCCGGGGGGCCCTGTCAATAGCGAGAACAAATCCTCCCGCTCGTAGAATGATCCCACCACTTCGTGCGGGAGGTACATTGCATGTTTTATGAACTTCTGCAGTTTTCCGTGGGAGTCAATATATTCCTGAGAAGGCACGTTCTATTGAGGAACCAGCCGAGATTGTGTGCGTCCCAGTCGCCATTGGCACATCCAGCTCGAATTCTTGAGGCAAGGCTTGTCCTAGGCTCATGGGCATAACTAACTTTGATTTATGTATAGCACGGCTTTTTTGTTTATTGTGGCTTAATGAATTTGCTGGGTTTCTCCATTTTTGTTTCTTCAGCCATCTCCTCAGAACACGACTGGATCCCCATGATTTGTCTGATTCCAGAGCTTGGTAGAGCTCCTGCACATCATCCCTTAGATGTGTGAATATATCGGGAACATCGGAAAACAACCACATACAGATTCCAGTGAATGAGACGGGGAACGGAATCAGTGCCTGGGGCAGTTCCTGCAGCCGGCCTGCAGTTAACCAAGTGTTATCGAAGCTCGCAGCCAACAGCTTGCATGTGAATGGAGTGTTTGTGTGTTGCACTACAGCAAGCCCACGGCCTATAGCACTTCGGAATCTCTTCAGGTTGGCCTGCACTGATAGTTGAAATGTTGTGACCTATAGCCACAGGCTTGCAAGACTGCGTGCACGATGCCACCTCCCCAGACCCAAACATTTCCAAAGCATCCAAGATGGTTTGCTCCACATACTCGCGGATGCCCAGACCTGGATCTGATCGTGGCTTTTTGGAGTCCATGGCTGTCACTCTTCTGCATACCTGGAGCTTATTTGTGTTTTAAGGTTTAAGGGTTTGTGGGTTCAGGGTTTTCGTGGTTCAGGGTTTTGGGGGCGAGGCGGGTAAGGGCTTTAACAATATCAGGGTTCAAAGGCTTTCGGGGGATGTGTTTCATGTAATTGGTCTCCAGTTCACATTCGAGCATTGTCGCCGAGTGCAGCACATGTGCAAAGCTGGCTCTAGATCTGTTCCATATATGCGAGCACACTCACTTGGGAAGGCGACGGAACTTTTTCACTCTGTCCCCGAGCAGATGCATCTTTGTTGGACATTGAAAACACTGGCACAGCAGGTCGGATCGAACATAACAGAAAATCACGGCGTGCACAGATCGAGCTTTAAGCTAGACTCCTAGATTGGTCGCAGTGGATCATCTCAGAATCGCACATGTATATAGGCTATCCCCGACCCAGTGGCAGCGAACAGTGCCGATCTTGCGAGCGGCTCCCTACACGCACTGTATGCAGCTGTGCACACAGTATCGCAGAACTTCGAAGCCCATGTGTGATCTTGCAACCACTTCGGGTGCCACACAGCTAGCATGATCGAGACCGTTTTGGGCCAGGCTCCTCCCACTGGTCATTCCATGAGCCATCATTGTCGTAGCCCTCGTAGTCGTAGTGCTCGGTACCGTCGGAATCGCCTGCCTTAGCAGCCTTCTCCCTCTTCCGCTTCTCCGAAGCCAGACCTGAGCACTTTCACAGCATGCTACACAAAGTACAGGCGAGACTCAAACAATATATATGTGCTTCGAAGACACGCCGATAGTGGCCCGCGACAACATCCTCCGCCTGCAGGACGGCCTTGTTGGCTGCCTGTGTGCTGGCTGGTGCAGGAACAGTACGATTGGACGACAGAGCCGCATTCTGCATTCGATATTTCAGAGGGTTAGAATAAATAATTCAGGCACATATATAGTATCGGGTTTTGGGGATCCAGCCTCGATTTCGGATTTTTTCTCGTCCAATTTCGCGTAGACAGTCTCATCGTCGTGGCCATTGAAGACATATTCGTTGATCCTGCATAAAGCACAAACCACTAGGTTGCATGCAGCACATGTCTGAAACTGTTTGGGGCGAGGTGCTCGCCATGAATCTTCATCGTCTGTGCATGCACCTCCTGCATGTGCTGGATGTTGGCCTGGAGCCGCCCACAAACAAAGAAGCCATCCATTGAAGTTCCCATATGATGTTCGGGCTTGTTGGTCTAGAGTCTAAAGTTATATCGTGGGTACAGATTGAGAATTAAGTAACTGTAAGAAATTCACGAGTTAAAGTGCTAGACAACTACATTCCCTGTGCAAGCACGAACCTTTACACACCAAAGGTTATCTTTATAGGAGCCAGTTAGCTTAAGATCCCGGCCTCTTGGCGTTCCATGCCCGACCGATTGAGGTTCTGGGCAACCAATCTGGCTTTGCCAGCTAGGGCAAGGAGCCTCGGCAGGCAGATCGATTCTCGGTTCCATGCGTGCCAGAAAGTTTATAAAGGAGGACATGCCAGCTAAGGGACTGGGTCATGGCTTTCTCGAAATCACGTTTCTTCACCTCCTCTTCCGTGAGAACCTGCGAAACAAGACGATATTGCACGAGCATTTGAGCTTTAACTCCCAGGCATGCAGAGCGCAGTGCTGTCCTTCGGTTCCTTGTTCGGTTTCGGCTTCTTGCTCTCCTCCGTGCCCTTCACATGGTCGGCACCTTGGGAGGTCAAGACCTCCGCGAGTTTTTTTCTCGTGGCCGTGTCCGCTTTGCCGATGCTCTTCTTGACTCTCGTCTTTGTGCCCACCTTGGTCACGTTGGCGCCTTGGATGTCGTGTCTCCTATGGTATCTCTCTCCCTCTCTCCCTCTCTCTCTCTCTCTCTGTCTGTCTCTGTCTCTCTCTCTCTCTCTCTGCCTCCTTCTCTCTCTCGTGGTTCTAATTCATCTCAGATGCTGATCTCTTTTCCGTGTTCGTAGATCTTATACAAGCGCCATGCAGCATTGCCTTTTGCTTGTGGGTGCTCGCGACCAGTCTGTTTGGCCAGGATATCATCACGAAGAAATCGTCGGCCTTCTTCTGTCTTGTTGTATTTCTCTTCTAGTTCGTGGAGCGGGAGCTCAATGTAATGACCTTCCTGGCGCTTCTCCGAGTACCTAAGATAAGTATTGAAAAAATGCAACCGGCCTTTTGAATGATGAACAATCAGTATAGTTGTGGCACTCTTTGTACTCCGCTTCGATGTGCATGGAAGTCATGTTCTCGTCGAGCATAAACGCTTTCAAGAATTCAAACCTTGGGACGCTGCAGGGGTCAGAGAATCGACTGATCCATGTGTGATACCCAGAAGTTACTGAATACTACATAGAATATTTCGAGAGGCTTGCCGGTCGTAGAGGTGGTTGCTTCCCACTTCTCGAGCAAGCCGGCAGGAAGTCCTGCATAGCATATAGAGTATGTCTCTAGTGCAGTTTATAATTAAGGATTGGGGAGCAAATCGTTGAACTGTTTCTCTCCTTGAGGATGCGACATGCGCCGCTTCATGGCTTCACGCTGCCGACGGCGTTCCCCGGCATCCATTTCTTTCGGGTGCGTCATTGCCTGTGAACAAGATAGGGTTTCCTCACACATCGGCAGCTAGACAACACAATTGCACGCTCAGTCCTGGATCTGCTTTCTTTCTTCAGGGCTCAGGACTCTGACCTAGGGTCAAATCAGGTCACGGGAGTTGATATTCCAAACTATCGGTATGTGCCTGCACATAGCAAACAGCCGGGGTCGGTGCCCTCCTGATCTTGCCCTCATCACGTACCCCCAATGGGCCCGGGCTCATAGAGGAAGACGGCTCCGAACGGACACTGAGGCTCGACATGGCCCGCTGCAGGATCGGCTTCCTGGCTCATGTCTGTTAACTGCTCCAGACTCACTAATTAACACAAACGCAAGCACGAACAAATCATGTGCAGGCATGGGGCGGCTGGGGGCTGGAAGTTGTAGCAGGGTCGGCAGCATCCTGACCATCATCCGCATAGCCGGAAGTGGGGATACCTTCGTCATCGGTCTCGGCCTCCTCCTCGCACCCGTCACCCCACTCGTCCTCGTCACCCCACCCCTCCTCAAGGTCTTCACCTCCATCACCAGATCCTTCAGGATCATCATCATCCTCCACCAAGTCATCATCATCCTGATCGTTTTCCTCCTCCGGTTCCTCCACCTCTTCGTCGCAGTGTTCCTCACACTCCACTTCCTCCACCTGGACCTCCTCATACTCTTCGGCATCGGGGTCAATGGTACCTGCAAGCAGGGGATGGGCCGCTATGTGGCAGAGAGGGTGGTTTGGGGGGAGAGAGGGAAAGAAAACGATGTAGAAAGAGAGAGGAGAGAGATAGCGAGTGAGCGTGTCCGTGTGGGTGGGTGGGTGGGTGTGTGTGTGTGTGTGTGTGTGTGTGTGTGTGTGTGTGTGCAAGAAGGCAGGAAGAGGAGACAGGAAGAAGAGACATAAAAGACAGAGAGAGAGAGAGAGAGAGAGAGAGAGAGAGAGAGAGAGAGAGAGAGAGAGAGAGAGAGAGAGAGAGAGAGAGAGAGAGAGAGAGAGAGAGAGAGAGAGAGAGAGAGAGAGAGAGAGAGAGAGAGAGAGAGAGGGAGATGGAGAGGGAGAGGGAGAGGGAGAGGGAGAGGGAGAGGGAGAGAGGGAGAGAGAGGGAGAGGGAGAGAGGAGAGAAGGAGAGAAGGAGAGGGAGGGGAGAGGAGGGCTCGAGGTACCTATAGTCGCAGAACCTGCCCCATACACACACACAACACACACACACACAACACACACACACACACACACACACACATTCAGTCCGCATAACAAATTGAAAGCATCATGGGCTCATTCTGCTGCTGCTGCTGCTGCTGCTTCTGCTGCTGCTGCTGCTGTGGGGTTGCTGCTTAGTTCTGGAACACTTCACACATGAGATGCTGCCGCCTCTCTCCCTCTGCACTCTCCCCTCTCTCACTGCTTCTGTCTCTCACCTCGCCTTTGCCACTTGACTTTGCGGATCCTGGCTTGCCTTTGCCTGCCATTCCCTGGCCACCTCCCTTGCCCTTCACGGTCTTGCCTTTGCCAGGGTTTGCCTGATCCTCTGCTCCAGCCTTGCCCTTCGCGACCTTGCCCTTGCCAGCAGGGTTTGCCTGATCCCCTGCTCCAGCCTTGCCCTTCGCGAGCTTGCCTTTGCCAGCAGGGTTTGTTTGATCCCCTTCTCCAGCCTTGCCCTTCGCGATCTTGCCTTTGCCAGCAGGGATTGCCTGATCATCTGCTCCTGCAGCCTTGCCCTTTACGGTCTTGCCTTTGCCAGCAGGGTTTGCCTGCTCATCTGCTCCAGCCTTGCCCTTCACGGTCTTGCCTTTGCCAGGGTTTGCCTGCTCATCTGCTCCAGCCTTGCCCTTCACGGTCTTGCCTTTGCCGCCAGGGTTTGCCTGATCATCTGCTCCACCCTTGCCCTTCACGGTCTTGCCTTTGCCGCCAGGGTTTGCCTGATCTGCTCCACCCTTGCCCTTCACGGTCTTGCCCTTGCCAGGGTTAGCCTGACCCCCTGCTCCAGCCTTGCCCTTCGCGATCTTGCCCTTGCCAGGGTTTGCCTCATCATCTGGTCCAGCCTTGCCCTTCGCGATCTTGCCCTTGCCAGGGTGTGCCTGATCAGTCTTGCCCTTCACGGTCTTGCCTTTGCCAGGGTTTGCCTCATCATCTGGTCCAGCCTTGCCCTTGGCGATCTTGCCCTTGCCAGGGTTTGCCTGATCCCCTGCTCCAGCCTTGCCCTTCGCGATCTTGCCTTTGCCAGGGTTTGTGTGATCATCTGCTCCAGCAGCCTTGCCCTTCGCGAGGCTGCCCTTGCCAGGGTTTGCCTGCCCCCCTGATCCAGCCTTGCCCTTCGCGAGCTCGCCTTTGGTAGCTTTGCCTTTGGCGTTGGCGGGCCCCGATCCTTTAGATCCGCCTACCATAGCACCATCACCAGCTCCCGAAGTGGCCGTCGTACTGGCCAAGGACTCGCGGGAGGCACGCTTGTCCGAGTACGTAGACTCGGAAAAAAACTTGGCCATGCTCTGCGGATTGAGATTCCGCAGCTCCACCTTCGGAGGCATGGCCGGGCTCGCTCGCCAAGCTCGCTTCACCACCGGGCTCGGGAGGAAAACCCAAAAGCACGAAAAGGCACGCTGGGATGCCCCAGATAAGGCCGTTGACACGCAAAGGCACGCAAAAGCACGTACCAAAAGTTTCAGAAAATTTTCGAAAAGTTCCCGGCCCCGCCCGTCGCATGCCTTTGCATGCCTTTCCATGCCTTTGAGTGTCGTGTGGCATGCCCTATAACCCCTGGTGAGGTCGGTGCATGCGCCCCACACACACATACATACATTGCATGCACACACACACATCACATATATGTAGGTAGATATGTCTGTATGAATAGCTACGTAAATAGCTACGTACTAACTAGTCCCTTCATTCTGGCTCTCCCTCGATCTCCTCCCTACTTCGATTGATCCTTGCACTCCTCCCGGCCATAGCTCCCTTCCTTATTCGCCCCAGCTCTCTTTGTAGCCTCTCTCTCTCTCTCTCTCTCTCTCTCTCTCTCTCTCTCTCTCTCTCTCTCTCTCTCTCTCGTTTCGTGTTTCTGTCTGTGCGCTCTCTCTGTCTGGCAAACGACATATGACTGCTGCAAGTGCCGGCACAGCAAACTTTCATTCTCAGGCCGCCGGCCCACGCTTGAAATCTGCTATAAGCTGCACAGCTGCACTAGCTGCACACTCATGAGATGGCTGCCATGGATCTTGTAACATATTACAACATGTGTGCAGCCAGCCAGCAGCACGAAGCCTCACACAACGTCCTCCAAGCCACTGTCCGAAGAGCAATCTGAGGTATCCTGGAATACAAGATCATCATCGGCACGGATTCTCGGCTGAAGCTTCTGCGACTCCAAGATCTGGGCCACCTGGAAAGCACGGGATGCTATGTATATCAGCCAGCTTTTTGCTCGATCTTAATGGGACGATATAGACTTCGAAGATCATTCGCATTAATGGGCTAGCTAGCCATTACTACACATAACTGATGGACCATAGGTTGTCGGGTTGCTTGGCTTCACCTAATTTGTTAGATCACTTAGTTGCACTGCATGGAGACCATCTATATTTATGGACATCTATATTTATGGACTTAAGTCCATAGATATAGATGGTCTCCATGCAGTGCAACTAAGTGATCTAACAAGAGAAACCTACGGCCAAGCAGCTTATATGGTCAAACCAGAAGCAACATTTATCGCCGATCCTCCAAGTTCCTATGTCGTCGTTGGTTATATATACTTAAATGCATCATCTTAAATATTGGGTGGAGGTGATGGGCACCAAGAGGGGTTCGATGCATATCTTATCAGTCAAATTGTAGACTGAAGCGAACGACGTCATGGAGTATATGTATAGACTACATCCGAATAACTAATTAGTTTAGACCCCACCCAAGAAGTCGGAGCCTCGAAGCCGAAGCCAGCAGGATAGGATTTTGAAGCTTCCAGATCTCGACCCCCGGCCTGTGCCGAGTGAATGCGTGGTGCATGGGCAGACGAGCAACAGCGATTGTGCAGCATCTTGACTGCGATATTGGGGTCCCAGCACATCGGGACTGTCCCTTGGCATTTCTCCAACGGATGGTGGTCTGGATCTTGAGAAAGCTTCGAACTCGTCGGAGATGGCTCCTGTCATGGATCAGGCTTGTTGTACGTTTGATATACTACCGTAGAAGCAAAACTCCTTGTGATCTATCAAGACGGCCGAGTGTGCTGTGCAGTTGGAGGTCACTGTCCGGCCTGCGCTCTTTATTCAGGGTTCTGCGAAGAGCTCGAAGACCTGCCCAGTTTCCAACCAACGTCACCTGAGAGAGATCACACATTGCTCTGATGTCGTGGGGTCACGAGCTACTCATTAACAAAGTATATTCGACTTGAGGATATTTGCAGTCCTGGGCCCGGGGCGGCCTTCGGAGTTGCTGACCCATAACACCCCAGGTGTACGGTGACTTTCATGAACTTCATCTTCAGCAGCAGCTTCTCAGTTGCAGACAGACTCACACCCAACATCAAGCATAGCTGATGGCGATGTTGCTAAATGTTGGCCGAAGTTCCCGGAGCGGCGAGTATTGCCAAAGCAATGTTGAACTGGGGTTCTCGATGACAAAGTTCACCCCTTTGGCGTATGCATATTGCAGCCTTAGAAGTGGTCTCTGGCAAAAGTAATCGGCTTCGGATGATTGTATGATGCTTCCAAGCAGCAAGTAACACATTCGGCGGCAGATCCTTTTACCAGTAGCACATCGGCTTCCCAGTCCTGCAGACATCACTCATGCATGCACACAAAGGTCCGGCCGGCTCAGATCGATGAAGCATTTGCGGGTCCTTGCGGGCGCAGAAAGGATCGTTTGGATGAGCCACGGGACCTTGGCACCACTCAATTCTGTGTACGATGTGTGTGCGTGTGGGCTAGCATTCTAGCATTTATTCTATTGCACCACGAAGTGTCGCAAATGCGTGTCCATGCAGTGATACAAGCACAAGCCGGGTTCATGCTGTATAATTACGCAGCTACACGCAATCTGTCATCGGTCGCTGTAGGCGAAGGTTTCGAGTGGCAAGTAAATCAACCCCAATTACAAACCCCACAAGAGACCGGCATGCCTACGCGAATGTGCGACATGCAAACGGCGTCATGCAAGCAGCCAGCGGGTTAATTAACGGCGGCCATGCAATCATATGCGCCACGAAATGTCGCAAATGCGTGTCGCAGAGAATCGTGAGTACCATGCCACTGACACATGCAAGTAAGCACAAGCCGGCTGAAGCCGTCGTATTCGTCCCTCCCAGATCGCTCAACCAATGCCATGCAAAGCGGAATCGGTCTTCCCATCTCGGTTTGCTGAGGGCTTTGCTGCACTAGCAGTGTTGCACGTATAAATCACAAGTCGTCCGTCATTACTCGCAGATCCCGCGGCAACCATGAAGAGCATAGCATGGACGATCTCTTGGCAACCTGGGAATCATTCAAGATACTGCAAAGTGTTGACCGGCCATGCAATGAGTTAGTCGTCCGTGCACGCGCGTCCTAATGCCCCGAAGTGTATACTACCTATAGACCCATAAAAAACCAGAAGTCGTCATGCCTCATCGTTTCATCAACACAGACTGCACAACCGCGGCACATGGCCATGAGCTAATGAATCAGCACCCTCTGTGCGGCTTTATTGCCGGAGCTCGTCACAGAATGAGCTCATCACCTAGCTTCCTTCGTTCTTAAGTCAGATAGCAGCAGCCGGCCAAACGTTACATGCGAGCTCAGGTAACTCTGCGGCTGTAGGGCGATAGCGTTGCGTACAGTGCTGCACATAGCTGCAATAGCGTTGCGTACAGTGCATATGTTGATATGCTCGAGTATGCCACAGTACGATGTTGCTTTGTGGTCTGGCGGCTGCAGCTTTAATCACACATGCGTATACGGATCTTTAAGAACTACTCTTTCTCGAATCAACTATGACCCATGTTGACCCTGACTATTGGGGATCCAGGCTGTTTCGAGATTCCAGGATTTCGATGACCATCTATCGGAAATCTTGCGGTGCGTCACCGGCCTACACACACTTAGCCCAATGATTAATTTGCATGCTAGTGGGACCAATTTCCGGACACCTTATTTATAGCCTCTATGTATATATAGGAACGGATCACGTAACTGCCAATTCTAAACCCTAAACCTAAACCCTATAAACCCTGAAGTGCAGGCTTCGTCCTTGCTACATAGGAGTGAAAAAACCCCAAACCCCCAAACCCTAAGCCCTAAACGCTGCCATAAGGTTTATGTGTGCGATGTTGAGCATCAACTGGTACAGTGGCGACGGTGTTCGGGTTCTGCATTCATTTTGTTGCATATAAGACGTAGGGCTTTCTCGTAGCGATCTGTGTATAGGTTCTTATCCATAGAATTGGGGGTAATCGAAACTGCACACATTGAATCTATATATCCTTCAGATCCAAACCGAGGGTACTCTGATTAGCTGCCCCATATGCAACCACAGCAGAATCTGCTGCGACCTATCAAACATGCATTGTAAAAAGACTCCCGGCCTGAATGATATTTCTTCTAGACTCGAACACCAGTACTCAGTATATATACCAAGTTTGATGGTTTGTGTTAACACAAACCATCAAATTTGGTATATATACTGAGTATATATAACATAACACAAAACCTTATTCCAGAACTTCGCAGCTTTAAACCCAAAGCCCAGGCCCGAGAAACCACAAACCCAAAAGAGCACGGTCGAGAATCCTGTAGCTAAAGGTCAGAGCAATGCACCTTTTAATCATGATTCCCCGAGAAGCGGAAATACCAGGAAACACACGAAACAAAGCCCTATAAGCCTTGCTTGCCAAATCCGAGAATATAACTCTAATCTGACGATCTTCGGAGAACAGACACGACCCTGCCAGAATTTTTCGTAGTTGGTAAGAGTATGAACACTTAAAACCTCCGACTTCTTAGACCAAAGACGTAACCCATCAACCCAAAATCCCCTTCCAGACTTAAGACGGATCTGAGGTAGCTACATGAAGACCCACGTGGAGCAGGGAATCCCACACCAGATGAGACCGCCCTCGACGGTGTGCCGAACCTTGGATATAAGTTTCGGCTTTTCGGGCTTCTGCTGCATAATGTTATTCTTGGAAGCCGAGCGTCCAGATTCAATGCCAGCAAAAAGCCAAAGTTGCTCAAGAGGTCCATTCGAGAGGAATCAGCCACCTCGGATAAGTGTATGTATATACATATACATATATATATGAAAACATGACACAGAATGGCTTCGATCAAACCGACTTGTGTTCATAGTCATAGTGCCGAAACGACACGTCATAGGTCCTGGCCGAAAGACCAATCGAAGTAGCAGCGGCCGCCAGAACTCCACGGCCTATAACACGTGGGGCTGGGTAGTTCAAAGGAATTGATTGGATTGGGTCGCAGGCTGATCTCTTTCTGCAGGCCAGGGACCCGCAAAGAACTCCACGAGGTGGACATAATTGGTTTCGTCCAACGGCAAG